ATTCAGGCGGTCAGCAAAAGAGACTTTCTTCGTTGAAAGCCAGCAGTGGTCCCTAATTTACGAGCGTGTTCCTGCTCACACTGGAGTAATGTTGCTACTCTACGTCCCCTGTGCTCCAACGTGACGGCGTATTAAGTGCCAACTAACCAAAAAAACATAAACTCAACTTACGGCACTAGGGTTTCATCCGTGCATCTTCAATTAGGTGCACTGAAAACGTTCCCCCGTCGACTACGCGCGCATGATCATGGTGAGTACACTGCTGTAAGATGGCTGTGTCACAAGACGATGAATATCTTCGATGCTTATACCTGTCCCGAACATGTTCTCTGCGAATGGTAGTCTGACACGTTAAGGATGAGAAATTCACAGACTTCGATCAGAATCTTTGAAGAGGGAAGAAGAAGATTACGGGGATGAAAAGTTTTGTTCAGATGCACAACAGATGCTTGAAAAAATGGATTGCCTTCAGTAGGTAGATCGAGGAATACTCATAGCATATCGCGTCTTTGTTGGCTGTTATATGAATAGATTCTTTTACTAATCACCTGGACGTCCAGTAATTAGCGAGGAATCGCACCGGCCTTAGCAAGCCGAATATCCGAACCTTCTCCCTTCAAACGCAGCATTTTCGCCTCCTGATATAATCTTCCCATAATAATATATAGTCGTGGTTGGCAGCTTTTCGCCCCCGAGGATACAGTGGACAGACATCATCGACCATTTTCTGTTGGAGAGCTCAGGCATATACATGAGTTGCTCACCAAATCTACCCATTTCTCCTTTCGACGACAACATCGTTTACTCCTCTCCACTGTCTGGTCATCGTGTTGGGGATGTGGCCACGACGTGGAACTCCCAACATTCTTCTGTTCATAGTTCGCCCGGTGATAGATAGCTGATTCTCTTCAGCTTTTTTGAATGAGCATATCTAACGAATGACAAATGGTTGCATTCGCGCTTTTTCTAATTGATTGAAAATTGAGTTATTTGTTCGTGCGTTGGCGTTCATACTGAAAAATGAAACGCTTATGAAAGCGGTTTATTTGTACAAACAAGTACCCTCCCTCCTAACAAGTTCAAAGAGCATTGTGAAAAAAAAAAACTTCAGGGTCGTGTGGCAAGCAGCAGAAAAATGTAGCATCTCCCAATGGTTAGGTTGCACGGAAATCGTCAAAGAAAATAACTGGCTACGCAAACGAATCAAAGAAGCCCAATCCCGCGAAATCGTCACCCGGGACAAAGGATATAATCTCAGCGCGGATTGGACAAGCACAAGCCTCATCAAGTTCATGACTTAAAAACTATTTAACCAGCAGCATGGGCTACAAGCACACCTTTGGTTCCAGACTCCACAACAGCTATCGATCATACGACCAACTACAGGGGTCATCCGGGGCAACCCTGAAAAAGGCTCATGAGAGATGAGCCGAAACGTCGGTTCTGGACGATAACCCGATTGACCAACTTATTGGTTTGCGTTATGTATAACTAAAGTTTTTATACTTTTTTCAGTTTCTGGATTGAAAATTCTCCTATCCAGACCTATAACAGAAATATCACTCTCTCTAAATGGATATTCTTAATTTAATGCGTGTTTTACTCTGGCTGAATGATG